TACCCTTTCTAATGTCTATTATGATATACTGCTTATACTGTATACTGGTGTTTACGAAAAGTTTTGCATTGATTCAGTTTTTTTCCCAAAATCAAGACAAAATTTGATAGATATTTTTTCAGCATCAATTATACAGCTGTATAAACATACTACGATAGAACAGCAAAATAATACAACAAAAATAATCAGCTTTACAGTATTTACTTAAAGGTATCTGATATTTCTTTTCTAGTCAATTGATTGCGAAATAAATCTCTAAAGCATCAGAATTCATATCAATGCATTGCTTTGATTTACCAACACATCAAGGTTAGCGATTTGCAAAATGAACTCGGTTTCAGTTCTACTCCTCGAAATCCAATTTCTACCCCAGATCACATTGTAAAGGTGTAATTCTTCAAAAATCAGGTTTAAATCTTTAATGATTTTACATTCTTGTCAATGAAAGTAAATTCGACTTACCTTACCTATACTGGAATTCAAAACTTCATTCAAGTTCTTCCTTACATGCTGATTCCAGCAAATGCTCTACCAAGCCCTTATTTTTACTCCTCACATTAACAGTAATTGCTGTGAAGGAGAAACATCAGATGTGCTGTGCAACAACAAATTCAAGAGGTGGTATAAATCAAAAGTGGATTTTCAAAACCTCCTACAAAATTTAAGAAAACTTAAAATCACAAAAAATAAAAAAAAATTCTAAGTCAGTACATGTAACATCAAAACGAATTGATTTTTTTTTTTTACACTTTATACAATTTACCTTGGCGACAATTTAAAGATTAGGTTTTTGATTTTATAGACAACCGCTTCTTCAAGACGGATGAAACTCCGAAGTTTTCCTATCTTGGAATTGGTCATTACAAAATTACTTTATTCAAAATCATTCTGACTCCACACACAAATACTCTGAGTTGATATTAAGAAGATTTCAGCGTTCTTCTTTGACAATAGCAGAACTTATTCAAAACCTTCTGCATGAGAACAAGAAAAAAATGATGTGGCCTTTAATTCCATGTTCAGATATACCGACGAAGTTTGATCAATAAACGATATAGTTACTTTCATCCATCTGTCGTTATTGTATTTCGAAGTGAACCCAAGATAAAAAAAAAAAAAAGAAGAAGAAAGATACATCTGCCACATCTGTTTCAGATTTGGATGTTTTACTTACTATGAACGAAAGTGACCAACCACAACTAAAATGTATGACAAACGAGATTAATTGAATCTTTCCCCAAATTTTAAAGGTGACTATCTTAAAATTCCAATAAAGCAATACAAATTGTGAACAGAGCAAACACCTCTGAAAACATCAGAGGTGAGAACAGGTGCCATGGAGGAGTAAGCATCCTCTGTCGAAAGGGCACATTCGCAGCGTTCTCTTTGTCAAGATCGGGTAAAATGGGAAATCCATAGTCAATTCCTAAATAATGGACTAACACTTTCAATCAACATTCGACCCTACAACAAATTATAATTGAAAACAAGATCATTGTATTAACCATAGACTTTGCAAAAATGTTGAAATTAATTGTGATTTTAGATATCCTTTCATTATCAACTTATTTGTCTGAAGTGTGCCTCTTTTTAAAAAAAAATGTTGATATACAAAGATCACCATTTTCTTGCGTATCGAATCAACTGGAAGAGATAAACCCCGTATGCAGCTGATAATGGTATTTTCTACACATAAACAAGGGGAAATGACGATAGAAAAGTTGAAGACAATACTTTTTTTTTATATAAAATTTACTTGTTATTTTGTCATCAACGTCTTTCTCCAGTAAATTATCTAAATATGAAGAAGATATCCTAGACTCCGTGGTATCTCTTTTATTTCGAGTTCAATTAAATATATCGAATCAATTTATGGATGAAAATCATTATTGTTAATTGATAAAACGTCATCGATATGTCTAAATATTGAAGTGAACGCAAGACAAAGGAGGCCTTTTTTTTTTCATGTGTAAGTTTTTGAATAAATTGTGTCTTAGAAGTATTTAAAAAACGTTCTGCTTATATTAGGACACAATTATTACCTATGAGAATTCAAACACATTGTTGGAAAACCTGGTCGAAGACTAGATAGATGTTGTCAATGAAGAACTCAAGCATCTTCTTAGTTTCAAATTCAGAGTACTGATGTGTAAAGTTGTTTTTTTTGCGAATTGAAGTAAGTTTGTAGATGACAGGAAAACTTGCGAGTTTGTATTACAGAAAGAGTTACCTTTGATACCAAAAAGCTTGGTCTCAAATTTATCGTGGAAAATGGTTTGTTACAACGCACTTTGAAAGATTAGGCACGAAGATTTTGACAAAATTGTAAAAGTGTGTTTAATTTGGGACAAAGTTAATATACTTTGAAATAAAAATATTTCTTTTCAAAGTGTGTAATATCGACCATAAAAAATGTGCATGACTTGGTCAATATTGTTGCAAATTTTAGGTTTGATAAATAATTATTTGAACCTGTTTGGATAACGTTTCGATGATAACTCACTTCAGGATCCGAGATATAGACGTGTTAAAGATTTTTGGGGATTGTCTTGTTACAAAAGTTTTTCGATGATGTTATAAAAATGACATCGGTCTTTCAGAAATAATGGATGAATGATTGTTTAATAGCAAAATTTCTTCTTCTTTTTTTAAAGTTTATCCAGACTATAAGTTCGTTAGATGTAGGGGTCGATTTATGACTTTAAGCATCGCATTATCTTAAAGAAAAGGAGGGCAATTACGATTTTTCCATTGAAAATAATTTTCCTGCATAATACGATGAATTTTTTTTATATAGTTATTGGGTAAGTATTTAGAAGATGAAAAATTGTTTCTTCCCGCAAAATATGATTTTCTTTTTTCTTTTTTTTTAAACAGTTATTTGATTAGTATTAAGAGGTATGAAAAAAATATTTGATGATTTTATACAAGTTAGCTAGCTTTTATTGCTGAAATCAGCGACATGGCCCCTGAACTTCTCTTCCTTAATATTATAGGGTGCGCTGTTTTTTTCTCAAATTTTTCATCTATTTTATGATAACTCAAATTTATTGAGCGAAGGAATACCAACGTCATACCAGTTATGTAAATACTAGGGATGTCAAAGAATATTCGAACATTCGAATATTCATTCGATGAGTTAATATTTGAATATGCTTACATGCATTACATATGAACAATTTCTAAAACAAGGTAAGTTACGTATACTGACAAACAAGCTGATGAAGCAAGAATATCAACAGTCTCGTTTAAAGTCGTCATTTCGTAAGTTCTATGATCGATAAAATGACCTTGTCAGCAAATACAATTTATCATTAAGTCAGATGCTGACTGACGTTTTTTATACTAATTGTTAGGCCATTATGTACCCATTGAATTGTCAACGGATTTTCCGTTATTTCCCGATCATGACAAGGCGCACACGGCGGGTGTGACCGGTTGGCAGAGGATGCTCACCCCTCCATGGCACCTGATCCCACATCTGTTTTTGGAAGTCCATGTTTGCTCTGCTCCCGATTTGTATTGTTTGAATGTACTTTGACCTTGAATACTTTTCGTTTTCTCCATATTTCATTGTAAAAAATGTTGAAAAATCAACTTCTCTTAATATTTAGTAATATTCCAGTATCACCTGAATCTTGTGTTTATGTCTTCCACCGTATAGTGCAATGTTGTAATATGCAATAGCATGCTCTGAGAGGCAGGCTTCTGAAAAATATGTAGATGTTACGGGGTTTCAACAACCTTGTTTAACGAATATTTTATGGTCGTTATTATTAGTTGTTTGCAAAACCAACCTTGCAATTGGGTCATATTATTGATGACATTTTTCATACAAATTGTTCTGCCATTGTTTTATTATCAGTTACTCCGTTTACCTGATCAATATGTAGAGCCCAACGGTGGGACTGGTCTAAAGGGATACTAACTCTTAACTCCTCTATACTAACTCCTCCATGCACATGATTCAACCTCTGCAGCTTCTAAGGGTCCATATTTTATTCTCTGTTGAAAAATTTATATTGTTTTTAAGAATGTTTTTTGATGAATCAGTTTATTTCTTTCTTGCTCCGTTTTTAAATTTGCCCAGTCACAGTTCTATTTAAGAAATTTTATTGTTATCTTTGAATTCGACACGTCTTAAAATCGCCCAATTGTGTCTAGGGTAAGGTAGCTGGTGTAGCTTACAATACAGTAAAATAACGCAACAAAGAGAGTGAAGCAAGCAACAGAGATGAAATCACGTGTCGTTGATGAGTAAACGTGCCCTCTATAGTATACTAGTGAAAGGGGTGTAGTACAACAGGCCTGCAAGAAGTGATGATCAAGATAATTTAATACAACATATTTTAATTCAAAATTTCGACTATCGAGCTATTAGTGTGTTTCGTCCAGTTTCACACACAGTCAAACTCTTCAGAATTATCATTCTCACCTTTACCGTCAAGTACTTGGATAAAACTTTAAGGTACTTTTGAGTCGTTTTAATATTTTTCATTTATTTTTGTTTAAATTTTGATTTAAAAACGTATTTCCTTCTTTTTTGAGAGAATCTTTAATTGACCATTAATTGCATTATTGTGATGCAGTCACAACAAATCTGACGTCATTTCTTAAAAGGCCGATACTATATTTCATAGAGAACATTATTGAAAGTGGATTTTGTAATTAATGATTTCCAATATCGAAATCTAAACGCAATGCGTCGGCCATATTTCCAGATATTAATTCTCACCTGCCGAACAAAGAAATACTAGTATAGCCGGTGTAAAGACGAAAAATGACCTCGTAGAAAAATGACAGGGGGTCATTATTCGTCTTTACACCGTCAGTCACTTGTCACGTTTAAATCAATGAATGTGCGACATTTCAACCGAGGGAAAATAACATTGTATATTTGATACACAGAGACAAGAACAAGTAAATATAAAGACAATATTGCATGTAAAATTGTGATTTAATAAGAACAAATTAACAAATGCATAAAATTCCTCTCTCTCTCTCTCTCATCACACATCTACTGACTGATAAATATCGTATGTGTCATTTTCTATGGAAATTAAACTTCCATCTGAATCATATTTTCTAGAATCAGGGGAAAGCGACCTTTCTTTCTCAGGTGTTTGGCACAAAATATATGTTTCTTCAGAATCTTGTTTGCCTATAGATTGCAAACTTTTGTTCTTGGCTTTATTTACATTTCTTTTACCAGTAAATATGGATAAAGTCATGGGAGGTATTTGACTTGGAACGTAAACATTTTCTGCTCTAATCAAATCATCTGAAATTTCATGATATACATTTTTGTCGGATAAATCTGAATAAACATTCTCCACCGATTTTCTTTCCGTTGTTAAGAGATTTGTTCCTGGTAACCCGAACGGAAACCTTTCGGAACCCCTTCCGGATGAGGCCCCTGCGTTTCCAGTGATGATGTTGTCTTCTACCTCTGCATATGCGGGAGACCTCAGTTCGTCTGTTGGCTCTGTGTATGGAATCTCATCAGCCACAACGCTGTATCCTTCCTCCAGTCGAGCGTGACTGTTTCCGGAGTTGTTCTGTCGTGATGATGACGTAGATGATGACATCAGAGGTAGCGATCGGAGTGCTGCCACATCAAGGGAAGGAGAACGCCCACTGATCAGAGAAGCAATATCAATACTACCGCCATATTTCAGCTGGTGTTGTCTTCTAAACGGAAATAAAAAAAAAAAAAGAGGTAAAGTTCAACTGACAGTCTTCAGACGAAACAAATCAGTAATCCCTCTGAACTTTGTATGCCACTAACTTTGATGCAGGTATCGTTATGTGTGTCAACTTTACTTCTTTACACTGCACGTACACCTAAATTTAACTCTTACCATCAAAGCAGTTATTATGCCCCCGCAAAAATACTCATACAATTTCAGACAAGTTTAAATCCAAGCAATGTAGATTTGATTTAATTAAATACATTTCAGATTTTATATAATAAATGCTTGACTTTATCATTTTTCTAAAAAAAAAAAATTATTGAAGAATCTTTTTTGCTTGCGAAACATTTGACTAATTTTTTTTCGAACAGGTGACTGAAATTTCTGAGCTTTTAATACAGTAATAATAACAATTTTCAAAGGTTAGTTAAAAGAAAGATCTGTTAATTATTAATTAAATGTTAAGTCCCCAGCTGTCAAACAACTCCATCCTGATATTTTAATATCAATCTATAATTTAATTTTGTTTGTATTCTAGCCTCTGATTGGTTAATATCCAAAAAGGAACACAAATTATTTCTGTATAACCTGGTTTGGTATGGGGACACACCCCCCTGACAACCAGCTGAATCGTCTGTATCCATGCAATGCTCTCATTTCCAGTCCTCGGGATTCATGGAAAATTCCAGATTTAATAAATGTACCTTTAGCTTCAAACAGTAACTCGGATCTTACCACATGCAAACAAAAAACATGGCTGCTAGGACTATGTATCAGTTTTTACCTCCCCTTGCTTCCCATCACTTCCGTTACTAGGGTTGTATTATTGAGCGGCAAATTTGAACTAATAAAAAGCAACGAAATTTTACACCCACAGTTGTTTAATGATTTTAGAATTAAATTATAAGGAATGACTCTAATTCTTGGCCAAATTATTCGAGTATAACCTGGTTTGGGTCAGTTTACGCTGTTTTATAATCCGCTTCGCGGATTATAAAGCGTAAACTGACCCAAACCAGGTTATACTCGAATAATTTGGCCAAGAATTAGAGTCATTCCTAAAATGGACAAAAATATTATTTCTTAGCGCATCGGTCAAGCCTGTCTAGACGTCCTTTATTATAATTCTTAGACGCAATTATTAATATTTACGGAGTTGTGCAATCGGAAGTTTACCATTCTGATTAACATGATTTTCTGACAACCTATTTCTGGTAAGTTTAAAGTTGAGAAAATTTAATGTGAACACAAATAGGCATCATGAATAATAACAATTTAAAGATTACTTTAACTATGAATTTTTGGGGGTTTATTTACCTTACACAAATGGCGGTGACTACAATAAGCCCGGTCAGACTTAGAGCTGCTACAATCAACGCCACATAAAACACTGAAAAAAAAATCATCAAAACAAAGCTACAATATAAAATATATACTGTAAAATCACTAATATTCGGGGGGAAGGGCGAATTTTCGTTGTATGAAGAGACCCACGAATTCGTTTTCCCCACGAAATGTAAAATTTCAAATGCCTATCAACCGAACACTTCTAATCCCCACAAAATAATATTTTCCCTCAAACCACGAAAATTTCACCCCACGAAAATACATGAATATATCATCCTCTTTTGTATGTTTAAAAGAGAGTAGCTTACGTCATTCTGTTTTACAGTTCAAAATACGATTTGGGTGAGAAATGCAAATGGCATTAATAGAAACACACGAACTTCGATAAAATTATGAGAAAATAGACGGAAAATTCCTTTTGGTGGGGACATATTATAATTGTTATTTCAACAATGTTCAGTTTTCAAGAAGTTTCATAGTTAAAGTATCGAAGAATTTATCATAATTAAGTATAGTAAATTTCTATAACGGAAATAAATGGAAAAGAATTCACCAAGATTTTATCCGCAAAAATTAATATTATACCCTGCAGACTCAAAACTGACATATTTCTAATCCGCCTAAAAAGACTATATTGTGTTTTACACCCTCTCCATTCGTTGCACTGTTTAACTTACATTTTTTCAAAAAAGGAAAATTAGTAAATAAATTCTTTTATCTGCTTCGTTTAACTGCTTCCATATTTTTAACTTTCAGGAATATAATAACAAAATAAATCATTAACTTTACCTGCTCTCTCGGTATAGTCAACGGACGACACGGAATCGCCGTTCAAGATGGTGACCAGAGTTTTTGTTTCGTTATTCATCTGATCTACAAAAGACAGAAAACCCTGATGTTCACTAGATGTGGACATGATGCCGACGTGTTTCATATTCTCGATCGCCTTAATATATATCTAAAGCAGTCCACCTACAGATACACTAGGCGTAAACATACGAAAGCCAAGAGATAATTAAGGGTCTTAGACGTTTCGCCGATTTCAACAAACTCGGGTTCCTTAGTAAAAAGTAAAAATTTATGTGACTTCAGATATAAACAAGCACGCAATGTTATTTTATTCTCTGACGTATTTTAATATACAAAGGTGCTAATCAAAAAAAAGAAAATTTATCATAGTTTAGTTACAATGTGTTAATTGTTTATGAATTTGATCGCACATATTCCTCCCCTCCCACTAAATTCAAAGGTGTAAAGAAAGGCCACTTGCTACAAACAAACAACTTGTAAAAATCATGAGCATAGATTCTAACTACAGGTATTGTGAGCACAGAGCTCCGTTCTCATATGAGTATAATGGCAAAACTCATGTTTTGCTACGGCTTAAGTGAGCTTTTCTAATCAAAAAGTGGCCGGGTCCGTCTGTCTGTTTATTTTTTTGTTTTGTTTTGTTTTGTTTTGTTTTGTTTTTGTTGTTGTTGTTGTTGTTGTGGCTGTCTTTTCACATTTTCGATTTCCTCTCCAGAACCACGGGGTCAATTTCACTCAAACACTCCACAAAACATCTTTGGGTGAAGGGAATTTAAGTTTGTTCAGCTGAATAGCCACGTCCTCTTTCAAGGGGAGATACATTTAATTGAGAATTAGTTAAAATTAATGGCCTTTTCTTCTCAAGAACCACTGAACCAGATAAGATGAACCGTTAGTAAAATCTGCATGACAAAGAGTAGATTCAAGTTTGTTTAAATCTAGAATCCCAGGGGTAGGGTGGGGCCACAATGGACAATCAACATTTTACATATGAATATAATGGAAAAAAATCTTTAAAAAATCTTCTCAAACACAACAGAATCGTGATAATTCATATTTATTTGTAGCATCCTCTGGTAGGTAGTGTAGATTCACGTTTGTTCAAATCATGACCTGCCAGGGTAGGGTGGGGCTACTATAGGCGATCAAATATTATATGAATATATACTAGGAAAAAACCTTTAAAAGTTTTTTGTTAAGAACAGCAATGACATGTTTAGTCATATTTATCCTCAGGTATCTTAAAGTAACTAATAACCTGAAAGTATCCTCAGGTTGTGCAAATTCAGATTTATTCAAGTCGTGACCCTCAGTGGTAGTTGTGGCCACAATGGGTAATCTAAATTTTAATAGAAATCTATAGGAAAAACACTTAAACATCTTCTTCTCAAGAACAGCAGAGCTTTGATAACTCATACTGATATGGAAGCATCCTCAGGTAGTGTAGATTCAAGTTTGTTCAAATTGGAACCTAAAGGATAGGGTGGGGCCACAATGGGCAATCAAGATTTTATATAAGAATTATAAAAAAAAAAAAAAAAAAAAAAAAAAACTTCTTAAGAGCAGCAAAGTCATGATAGCCATATTTATGTAGGGCCATTCTCAAATTGTGTATAATCAAGTTTATCAAATCATGACCCCCGGGACTGGGGTAGGGTCACAAAATGTGATCAAAGTTTTACATATGAATATACAATAACAAAATTCTTCTGTTGAAGAACAGTTGGGTCATAGTTACTCAGGTGAGCGTTGTGGCTCCTGGGCCTCTAGTTTTCATTTGAAAAGAAGGAAGGCCTTATAATGTGAACAATACGTTTACAGCTAAAAGTTAGCAATCCAATTTGAAACAAGGTATCTTGTCACTCGAGTCAAAATTTCAAATGGACAAGTAAATAATTATTCCGCAGCTAATTAAAACCCCTTACTGCAGTTACACACAGTTTCATACCTTGGAGATCACTGTACATATTGATCTCCAGAATGTTTATTTATCCTGTTGTAAATCATTAGACCCCTCATGACTCCAATGGCATACAAAACTTAAACTTAAAGTACACATATACTCATGTGTAAATATACATATATTCGTACATTTGCAAATGTATTACCAATATTCTAGCAAAACTAAGCAAGCCAATATCATACAGAAGTACCAATATACCTTCACCAGCATAACAAAGGTCTCCAATAGATGTGGCTAATAATAAGATTTTTTCATTTAGAAAAGAAATTCCAGAAATGCAAAGAATAATTATTTCAAAAAAATAATTTAATGAATAATATTTAGTCAATGGTTCTTGTGTAGGAGGAAAGAAAAGCAAAAAACAAATCTTCACTAAACTTAACAAAGGTTTTCAATATTGTATTTTGCTATAAAGATCTTGTCGTCAGTGTCTCCCCTTGACAGGGGACATAGAACATTACTTTGAGCAAATTGAATCATGCACTGAGACAGTGAAAATATCAAACTTTTATCAAACAAGCATACATATCGACAAATATCGGACAAACTTTATCAGAAAAGCTCAAGATCACTTGAGCCGATTCCTCTTGTGAATCTGTTGCTCGCCTTTGATTAAATATGATTACTTTTGGCATTGTATTACTGGATTTGTAATAAATTTTCATAAAGTATCAACATCGTTACCATTGCCATGTGCCGAGTCGGGATAAGAGCCAATTGGAAAACTATCGACGTTTTTGTCGATGGAAGCGCCTGGGGGACATTGATTGGATATGGGGTCCAGGTAGTTGTCATGTGGTACCTCACCCTTTGGAGTTACTGTTTAAAAATTGAAACATTTATTGATTAAAAGTCAATGGTGATATAAATTTACATTATGATACATGTAGTATGCTTAAGAAATGCATTGTCAGTCTATAATTTGTGTCTTGATTTGCTCCTTTTTCACTACAATGAAGGCTACCTAATTTTCCTTTTCATTTTTTAAATAAAGAATGGATAATTTATACATGTATAAAAAGCAAAACATTTCCCTCTTCAGTTTTTTTTAATTTGTCTATTCCTTTGTAAATTAAATAGTTTTATCATAAAACTGTGTATAAAATCACGAAAAGTGATCTATTTCTTAAATCGTCACATACTAATAGGTCAATCAAAGCAAGTCACAAAACTTCATTTTGACATTGCTGACCATGTTACAAAAAAATGTATATTCACAATTCAAAAATAGTTTGACGGTCCATTTCGTAATTTTCAACAAGATTCGGCCTCGTCAAATGCTTTGAAATAATTGAAGCGCATTACCAGTCAAGCACGGTACGTTCAGGTCCGTAGCAACGGTTTCAAAAGTGTGTGTGTGTGTGGGGGGGGGGGGGGGGGCTAACTTCCAAAAAAAAAAAAAAGATCAAAAGTGGGGGACAACTTCAAAAAATTATCTGATTATCTGACAAGCACAAAAAAAGCTTATTTACAGTCCAAATCATGGAATTTACCTGTGCTTCATCAAAAAGTGGAAAGGGGGGGGGGGGGGACAACCAGCATCTAAAGAAAAATTTACTATTGCAAAACACTATACTCAGAAAAAAGTAGGGGTGCCCCCCCCCCCCCCGACCCCGCGTTCTACGGGCATGACGTCTATTTTGATTGAGTGCACAGTGTCTCTCTTGGAGCTCGTTCGAATCTTTGATATGGTCACGTGATGTTGCTATCCCACAATTGTCCACATGTTTCCAATTTAGATGATTTTATATGACCTAGACAAGTAACTGACAATAATTTATCAAATTCCCACATGTTAAATACTTGTACTCGCGCAATATAAAGGGTAAATTCTGCCATTTCCAACAAGTTTTACATGTACCTCTTCATGTACATGCACGGTAATAGATGTGCCTAAACGATTTTCTTGCTTCACAATTTCGAAAACGAATTCCTTGGATTGTTAATGAACTTTCTGTTTGTTTTTTTTTTTTAAATTCAATAACTGTATAAAATCCGAAATTGATTAATTCCAACAAAAGACCCTGAGGTAATGTCGTCCAACTTCGTTTGAATTTTGTAAACCAGGATACAGAGAACACCCTATACTGTGCCCACTGTAACAGCCCACGATCCGACCTTAATGTTATCTTTTATAAAACTTAATTTTTATGTTAGGAGTGAAAGATCTTATTCCACACAAAGTTATAATGTGAATTTTTTAAAACCTACAAGAATTTTGCGGAAATGCAGAGAATAAATCCATATTTGTCAAAAGGCACAGGTATACATGTATCAAAAAACGTTCTCATATTAAATTAAAAAGTACTTGACCCTGAGTTTTTCACAGGTTTGCTCAGAGAAACTTTCTAAACCTATATCAACCGAAAGGTTGAAGATCCATACACACAGACGTTATTGGTGTCATAAGATAAAACCGCAAAGAGGTGGTCGTAAGCGACATGCAAGTTTTTTAAATTTGTCAGCAGTGTGGGCAAGGCGTATACACCATTCATTAGACGAGAGAAATTTAATTTTTAGTTTTACGGATTTTTTCCCAAAAAAATTGTGTAGGAGGAGGAAAAAAAGAGACAGCTAATTTTTATCATTCATTTGATCATACCTTTATGTCTTTTGCCATTCATTGCAATTTGCGTTGCTGGTTGACACATGGTACTCGTCATAAACATTAAAGATTGACTTATAAAATATCACATACCAGTGTCAATTTCTTGGACATGTATGCCAATTTACAAATGGAGAAAGTTTTTAGAGACTCAAAGAATATTGGTCGTATAATGAAGCCTTAGCTAACACTTTCCAGTACCTGCATAGGTACATTTCTCAAAGACCATTAGTCTTTATGGCCTTTATATCATCTGAGTAATATTCAAGCTATCAAGCTGGTGACACAAATTACTTTTGAAGACACAAAATGTAGGATATCAGGCCTTTCAAAATCTGCCAGTACCCGGCTGAAATTATGACTGTACCGGCCAAAATATTTGATGGAGAAAAATTTGATAAAATCCCTTTCACTAGGTACCTCCTATTTTTAGTAAAAGTACTGCCTGTTTCTAATCTTCTTGAAAGTCCTGGGGTGTGAACAGAATAAATCAGAAATTGTACCTGTGTATGCAAGAAACTAGCTATTTTTGCAAACAGAAAGGATCATCTAAAAAAAAAAAGATTATGATTTTCAAAAAAGCAGTACCCATATAATGATCAAAAAATTTCATCCATGTATAAAGGAGTAGAATAAACAATATGTATTATTTTAATTACATGTAAATACGGCAGGGTGAATCAAGTAATTACTTTTCTTAACAAGTCCTAGGTAATGTATATGCAGTAAACATGCCTTAGAACTTAGATAATCTGATCTTCATATCAAAACTCCATCAAACTAAATCCAAAGAGAATAAAGAGATTAATTGAAGACTATGCATAAGGTGGACTCATTATGACAGAAGCCTTACTACATACCTTACTAAAATGCTATCGACGAAACTCTCTTTAATGAGGCCTAGTTGACATGCAATGCAAGTAACTGACCGAGTGCCTCATTAAGAGTGTAGGGCTTAAATAAACTAGGAAATTTCTGAATGCTGAGGATGCTTTTGATTTACAAACATCTTCAGAATAACACTGATAATCAAACCAGACATGGCTTGTGTCTCCATTTTGGTTAATATTCCGTGTGAATAAGACGCTTAAAATTACACATTCAGTGCTTTCATTGTCAAACGTTTTGAAGATTTTGATTTATAAAGATAATTTTAAAACCAAACATGGATGGACATGAAAATTCCGGATTTTTTTTTTATAAATCGGAAAAATTGGGTCGGCGGATCCGTAAAACTTAAAAAAATTAAATTTTTCTCGCCTTACCTATGGTTATGAAAACACCTCTGAGCATTCATGAAGAAACAGGTTGCTGTCTTTCAAAAATAGACAGCAATACGTTGACAGGTACATGTTTCTAATAGAAATCTGAAGAAAAATTCTGTTGCACTGAAATGTGTATAATTTAAAAAAAATCCTATACCTTGATCTGAAACATATATTTTTTTTATATTATGAAGTATGAAGTCTAAATTGCTGAATAAAGCTGTAATAATATAGCCTTGACCATTATTTTATGTCAGAATTAAAAAATGGTTTCTCGTATCAAAAGACATCTATTTTGAACTTTTTTTGATAAAACCAACAAAAATCAGGAAAGCACCTCCACCCCCCCCCCCCCCCACCACCACCACCACCAAAAAAAAAAAAAAAAAAAAAACAACAACAACAAACTACTGACTTCTCTCCACCTCCTTTCATTTATAATCCGCAATAATGAAATATATGGAGATAACGAACAGTATTCAAGCTCGAAAGTCCATTAAACACAAAATAGGAGTAGAGCAAACACGGACCTCTACGACATCAGAGGTGGGATCAGGTGCCATGGAGGCATGAGCATTCCCTGCCGACCGGTCACATTCGCTGTGTGCTCCTTGACATGTTCAGGAAATAACAGAAAAATCCGTCGACAATTCAGCACTAGTATACGCAAAAAATATATAATATTATACTGACGGAATTCAGAATTATTGCTATCACAAGTAAACGAATGTGAATGTGAATGTGACGAGTTGCCCCGACGGTGGGCATGTTTTGCATTGTCCTAAGAGCAACTTGTCTTAGAGAAACAAAACGCAGCAAAGAACAAATGGTTTGTTGTTTGGAGGTTCTACAGTTCTAGACAAATGTCTACTGTGTAGATGTAACGATGATTGGATATTTAGGTAATACAGATAATTTGAGGGGTTTTTTTATGATAAAAGCATGAGAATTATGTCTGGAAAAAGTCTTAAAATCAGCATCATATTTGACATAGAGACTAGTTCTTTCCAGGAAAGACATTATTTTTTTTAGGATTACAGTTGTTGCAGTGTCAGTTTATGTGAAATATACTACAGTTATTGCATCACCAACAGTGATAGACCGTATACATGTAAATGATCTATCAACAAAGCGATGCTATTGTTTTTGCAGTTTTAGAAGATTAAGAATGTCTTTTTTCTTGTTGTTTTGATTTTAATGAAACAGACCGAAGCATCAATATTGTATAGCATAACGCACAACCACCCATCTTGTAGGGCTGTGCGGTGCACCGAAAATTTCGGAGCACCGCGGTTCATACTGTTCGATTCGGTGCACCGATCCAGAATTCCGGAATTCGGTTCGGTTCGGTTCAAAATTTACAAAACACGTATAAACAAAAATGGCCGCCAATTGGAGATCGGAAGTGTTTGTTTTCATGATTTTAATACTCTTTACATTGATTGTGCCAGTTTGAAGTCAGTGATTTAGTTTTTTTAAATTCCACAAACGTCTTTTCCTTTTACAATAGAGGTTAGTTTACATTGGTGTGGGCTAGTAAATAGACCGAGGGGTTAGTGAAAAAGTAGCAGGTATTTTCCAAGTTTTGCTTTTAAATCCCAAATCAATGAAAAAAATCAAAGAAGTGTGGTTCTCTTGTTCATAAATCTCATCTTTCTAATTCTTTTAGCACTTCTACATTATTTATTTCTAAAGACCACGAAAAGGATCGTCTTTTTTTTACTAATCTGAATTTCCTCCATACCGATTTTATGGAAAATACATGAAGGTATCACATTAATTGATTAAATTATTTCCAACTACTCAACTGGTTCACTGAAGAGTAAATATTTATAAGGGTTATAAAAATAAATTAACATTGTATTTGCTAATTTGAATTAAAAAAAAATAAATCACTAGCTTTCACTTCATTTTGGAAGAGGAAGTCCAATGATCAGAAAAAAAAATGTATACTACTATGTTACAAGGTATCCAAAACATGATTGTTCATTCTATTAAATTCTGCATTAAATAATTTCATTGATTATTTATTTATTAATGACTCAGAAGAATATGCAAATAGAGAAATAAGCAGAAGAAAAATGAAAAGAAGAGTAATTCATTATGAAATGTAGATGGAATAAAATAATACAACAAAAGTTTCAAATTTTATTATGATTTTGGGCTAGTAGAAATTTTACTTTTGCCAGTAAAAATATCAAATCCACTAGCCCCACTTGTTAGTGTTTCAGAAAAGTTTTTGGGAGGACTGAAGTAAAGGAGTTTAATCAGTTTAAATAAAACAGAGATTATTATTTTTCATTAATGATGAGAAATATTTGGACTGTTTAAGGTTAAATCGAACCGAATGGAAAAAAAAACCGAACCGTATCATTCTGAACCGAAACCGAACCGAATCGATTGAACCCTGAATCGTCCCAGCCCTACCATCTTGTAGAGTACTAGTCAACTTTCCCCTATAAAATCTATGCCCCCCCCCCCCGGAAAACTGGCTCTAGATTAGGATTTCCCGCGTAAAATACTCTCTGGAGTAGGGTAGTACTATAGAAAAGAGACAAAATAGGTTTAGAGGTAAAGGGCCGGTTGCGTTTTGAGAAAATATATATATATCACCTATAAATGAGATGTAGAACCGGAAGCCCTCCTTGCTTGACGTCATACTTATGTCTACGTCACCACAGGCCTGAATCACCGTAACATTTCCACTAAAGGTACACAGCGTTTTACGCGGAAAAGTTTTGTCAAAATTACACTTCCGGGTAGTGCGCAGAGATAATCCTCCATCACACTCGGGTCCAGAGGCGAGCCGCTCCATGTCGTGAATGATGACGTTTATGTATGCATCTTCTGGGACCTTGACCCGCACAGAACACTTAGATTTGTCGGTGGAGGGGTAGGCAAGATTTTTAACTACTCCTTGTGTTGTGTTGATTATTTCTTGACTCTCTTCACAAGTTATATTGGTATCTGAAATATATTTTAATATTGAATATAATTTAGTATGAAAGAGGTAGATTGTACTCTACATCAAACAAATTCTGGACACATTCTCACTTGCCGATCGATTTGGCGTTGATCTATTTCTCTAGCTTTACTGACATTCCAATAAGCACCATGGGATTTGGAGAAATCGGTTACTCAATATTTACATTTTACACTCCAAAAATAAGAACAAGAGCGCTTATAAAATGTAACTATAGAAAACCCTTAGTGGGTAAAGACGTTTTATAGAATTTGAAAAATAAACGCTAACTAAAGACTTTTCTTACTCTGAAATTAAAAAAAAAAATTGTGCACTAATTTATGGCAAAGCTTCTTGGTATAAAATGGACTTTTTTATATAATGGCTTTTACTTCGGGTTTATGATTCCTTCAAATGATGTTCTGGAATACTGTATGTAAATCTTGTGGGAATTCAATTTGATTACAAATTTTAGCACACAATATTAGCTAGATTTTTAAGAAATTCTAGTTGCGGTTTTGTACGTGGTCCTTTATCACCGGATACAGGTGCGTATCCATCCGGTTAGTCTGGAGTGTTTAAATTAAATCAGGTTACAATAGTTCATACCTGCTGCGTAGAATATACCTTCTATACAATGGTAAACCACGTGTAGGCTGACGCCATTCTGTTCACAGAATTTCTCAGTTGGACAGTCGGGCTTTCCCATACACATGCGCCGCATGTTCTGAAAGGCGAGGGCATTTGGCTCCCCTGAGATGAAAACAAACGAGTAAATTAATAATTATGTAATTATATGAAATGTAAATAGCTTGTTATGTATTGCCTAGGGGCGGATCCAGAATACATGTACATGTATTTCCTGGATTGGAGGGTCCTTAAAATAATTTTTACTTATAATTCCTGAAAGTCAAAGCAAAAAAAAAGAAAGAATATCAAAGGTAGCAAAATAGAGGAAAAATAGGGGGATTAAAAAAAAGTAGTCGCATAAATTGATGTTAAACGTCTTTTATGGTACAATCTATTAAACAGGTAATGAATTATATTCATCAACTGTAACAAGTGTAATCCAAAGGACATGAATGGCCCACCAAAGTACAATAGCATGGCAACCGTTAAAAAAAATATTCGTGTACCTCCCTTCTTTGGTCTGAGATTGATTCATCCCATCTTTTATCTATAAGCTAAATAGAGTCTTACGGTATACATTATTCTTCACAATTCTATAGTGTCCTTTTGTGCGTGTATCCTATCCTATCGTGCGTGTATCCTATCCTATCGTGCGTGTATCCTATCCTATCGTGCGTGTATCCTATCATATCGTGCGTGTATCCTATCCTATCGTGCGTGTAACCTATCAGGTATCCATTCATCGGTATCGTATGTTGCGTTTATCGTGTTATTTGCCTTTATCAGGTTTTCTGTTCATCAGGTTTTCCGTTTATTGGTTTTTTCTGATTTTACTGCGTGCATCTGGAAGGCATCTCATTTTACCGCCCTTTTCACGAAAAAGATTGAGGAACTCCAAATGTACATAAATCACGGAATAAGAAAAAAGATAAACTAATAATGTATTTTTATGAAATGCATGTACTGTCTTGTACTTTACACGAATAATTCCTAACATAATGTGAAATGGAATGTACATGAAATGCTCGAGGATGGTTTGTTATATCCACATACACTATACAATTATCAAATGAATGAGGAAGTTGATTTGTTAGATTTTTGAAAAACGATAACCTGGATAAATCAAGTATATCGTGGTCCGGAAATTGAATTAAAAAAACAAGATGTGTTTGTGAAATACTGATGCCCCCGTATGGCGAAAGTATACAATTCAAACTCCAAGGTCAAGATATCAAAAATGTTGTTACCCAAAGAAAGGACCTGTGTCAATGGATATACCCGGTAAATATGAAAGTCCAAGCACCAACCATTCAAAAGTTATGGTCAAGAATAATATTTTCAAAAATTGGGTCAAACTCCTAGGTCAAAGGGGTCAAAATTAATGGTATGCAAGTGAAGACCTTGTCTCAAGAAATACACATGCAAAATATAAATTCCCTAGGCCATCATTAAAAATATCTTTGTTTCCCCTAACCCGACCCTAAAATTTCAAGTTGGGTCGGTAGGTAGGTAAATTATTATTTTTTTTTCTGACAGCAGTTTTGAAAATACATTCTGAGAAATTAAATAAAATCTTTATAAATGAGAAAGAACAAAGATTCCTATTTTTAAACCGAATATCATATAAATGAAATTTAAAAGCAACATGTATGGTAAATTAATTTACAAATATGATTCATTTCATTTTGAACTTTGAAATATCTCAGGCCAGCGTAAATTTATTGAAATCGAATTCTTACAAAAAGACAAGATTCTCAAATACTCAACCATCTGCCATCCGAGTATATTTTTTTCAAACCTACTATCATCTTTGAGTGCTTACACAAACAAAATGTCAAGGGCCTCGCGTTGCGCAGTAATTCTAGTGTTTCATTTTGGAGTCACGACGTAATTCAGGAGCTTAAAATATTGTAAGTCGCAGGTCCCGACGAGGGATGTGGAGACTGGTCAGTCGAGTGAGACCGTAAAAAACGTGGATCCATGCAGTGTTGCAGTATGCATGTAGATGTTGGCACGAAAAAGATTTCTTATTGATGCTTTATGATCAATGACCATAAATACCGAGAAAAAAGTCAAAATTAGGAGCCTTCCACCAGACAGGTGTTCAAATGTTGTCGACCCAACAATTTTTAAAGGTATTTTAAAGCAAAGAAACAACCTATTGTCAAGGGCCTATAACTAAAAAAATACACAGGACGTCTCAGGAAGCCATACCATAAGCCAATTAAAAAAAAATTCAACACTATATTTGAAAAGAGTGTACCTGTATAAACAATATTTAATTCAACCAAACCATATCTAAAATGATTAAAGTTTCATATATCTAATGTTATAGTCACGAAGTTTACCCCATAAATAAAAGAAATGAAGAAAATCTAAATTATATTTATCAAGATGAAATAATTATACAAAGACATATATACAAACTCCTCTGGTCCTATATAGTTAAAATAGAATCATACATGAAGTGTTTATTAAATCGAAACGAATGAAATGCATTGAAATTTATTGAAATGCAATACACAAGGTGGGCCCCCATCTGCTTATGAGGCAGGCTTTGCCATGCTTACTACGTACGTTAATTTTAGAAGACACGTTTGCAAATACCATCTTAACACCCCTTATAGTCATGGTATATTTAATTCACGAAATGTTTCAAGAGTGTAGGATTCTAATAAGTTAAAGATATATTAAGATTGATAAATCGCCGTTGTTTTATAACACGAGCTAACTTTCTGTGGCCACACAAATGAGAGTAGAACAAAAGCCGCCGTTCTGATAAAATATGAATTTTACTGAAATTGTATTTTTTAAAGTTAATAAACAATAAAAAAAAATAGTTGAATAATCTTATCAAAAAAACTTTTCAGTCGGCACGATTTAAGTGGGTCGGTCGCGTTAGGGGAAACAACGGTATTTTTTATTTTGGCCCTAGCTCCGACTCTTCAAAAGTTATGATGAAGGTTAACGTTTTTCAAATTTAGGTCAAACTCCAAGGTCAAACGGTCAAAATTATTGGTATCCCAAGCTCAAGGGTCTTGTCACAAGAAATACACCTGTGAATATTGAAAAAAAATTAAGGCCAAGGTTAATTTTTTTTTTATTGCAAAGTGGGTCAAGCTAGAAGGTCAAGGTCAAGAGGTCAAATATGTTGGTACACAAGGGAAGGTCTTGTCACAAGAAATACACATATGAAATATGAAAGCCATAGTTCCAATCAATCAAATGTTATTGAAAATGTTAAAGTTTCTGCTGACAAACAGCTAGACAGATGGATGGACAGGGCAAAAACTATATACCCCCGAATCTTAAATTACGGGGGCATAAAAACAGTGATAGTTAGATATAGTTATTTTAACATGTAAATTATTTATTTTGTTTGTAAAATATAATTGGTGAAATAAGTCGACCGAAAGCACTCAAATTGTTATTTCAACAGTGTATTTAATTATGCTTGAAATTATAAAATCTAAAACTTATATAATAAATTCACGTCAAATTTTAATGGTTAATAAGGAATATGTTTTTAGAAATTATAATTCTATTAAGGGAATAAATGTCACCCCCATCCGCCCTCCCTGTAACATTCTCGCAGGGGCAGCTTGAAGTGAGGTACACGTATATAGATGTCAAAAGGAGGGGTGTATCTTGTTTTATGAGAATTTTGTGTAAAGTTTTAACATATATGCTCTTTCTCCTTCAAACAAACTGTAAATTTCTTTCCGTCGCTAGAATCCATTTATTTTTTATGATACATGCAATATTAATACAAACCCTGTAAATAATTAAGTGAATACAAGTACCAAACATACGCTTTGTCCAGTCAATGATACACACTGTATGTAGATTTCAAACTCGGACCAAAATTACTTAATTCAAAGTTTAAAAACAATTATGACACAGTTGAATAGATCCCACCAGTATGTATCAGCGCATGGGGTTTGATGAAAATATTATGAACAGTTTCTGCTAAACTGTGCCACTTAATAGTGGGGTCAAGGCTATAGGAAAAGTGAAGGTAAACCTAAAAATATGAAACAGATAAATAGCTCTGGACAGCCAATACATGTATGTATCAGTATTTGTTTTGATAAAAACATCTTGAATAGTCACTTTAAAAATGAGCAAAACACAGAATATAGGGGATGGTGAGGACTAGGTAACAGGGAAAGATGAGTTCAAAAAACTCGTATCAATATGTACCAGTTATGAATTTTGATTATAATATAACAGTTTTTAACTGATCTAAACCCAAAGTGTGACGTACAGCTAGTCGTAGAGACAGACGAAAGACATCTTCCCAAGCCAAGGGTTTTCGGTCCGCTTCGCTAGGGTTTGTGGGGAGCGAAGCGGACCGAAAACCCTTGGCTTGCTAAGATGGACGGAGAAAGGAAATCTATAAGTCCAAGCAATATTCATGACAAGGCATAAAATCCCTTGGTTATTGATATGTACATACAAGTTTATATCAGTAACGCAGCAGATCAAGGTACCATGCTCAATACCGTATTAAAAAACTTCATACACGAAATTGTACCACCCGTCACCCTATCCTTAGGGGCCTTGATTTCTACACTACATATTTGAATTTTTGGTATTAAGGTTCATCGTCCCGCCGATCATACACGTAAAGTTATATAGTGTAGAAATCAATTTAGACAGAACGGCCTTTTTATAGCTTGACAATTTATTTAGGAATAATCATCATTTATACCAGTAAGAGTTATCGCTCTTATCAAAGTCTTGAGAATTTTGAATTTTAAGTACTTTCCCTTTACATAATGGTACTATGTAAAAAAATTAATCTCTCTTACGACTCCACCCTACCCCAGGGGTCATAATTTGAATAAACCTAAGTCTACAAGTACATAGTGGAACAATCACGTTGTATACATGTATATTTGGATTTTTTCTCATAAGTTCTGTCGTTTCTATATCTTAAGTGTTCCTTTTAAATAATGGCACTTTATTAATTACTATTGTGTCTTCCATGAAGAGGGGGTTTGACCCTTCAGTGAAACAAATCTGAATCCCCATCTTCCGGCCGGAATTCTTTCTAAAAAGACTGGGGGATCAGTAAGTTTGGAGATGTCTTCAATGTGAACAAATTAACGGCCTACAAT